ATCTCTTCCTTGCCTCTCACCCCCACCTTCTGCTCTAATATCTGATTTGTTAGTACATCATTTGTTTACTGTATTCCTTTGTTATATGTGGTCATGCCAATACACTTTCAGAATCTGAAGAAGTGGGTCGGCGCCACGAAAGCTCATCACCTAATAAACTATCTTGTTAATCTTTAAAGTGCTACATATTTTTTCCTTTTGACTTCTCCCTAGCAGCTTCCTGATTTGGAAGTGCTGATGCCACTAAAAAGGCAGTTACATCAGAGACTACTCTGTGAATTTTTGAATTTGTTAGAACCCCTTTACACACTGCAGTGTAAAAGAATTGTAGCCTTACAATGAATTTGGTGTGCAAAATGTCTTGTCTTTATCACAAATAATGGGTTTGTTTGCTGATGGCTAGAGATTAATTATGAAGATGATTGGTAAAACATCATTAGAGGCTGTAAATATTAATAATACCATGACTAATATATACAAAATCACAGACATAGAAAAAAACATAATAAGAATTACAGAAGAATCTACCTAACATAGGGTATGTCTACACTACAAAGTTAGTTCGAACTAACGGACGTTAGTTCGAACTAACTTTCATAGGCACTACACTAGCGCTCCGTTAGTTCGAACTTAATTCGAACTAACGGAGCGCTTAGTTCGAACTAGGTAAACCTCATTTTACGAGGATTAAGCCTAGTTCGAACTTACTAGTTCGAATTAAGGGCTGTGTAGACCCTTAATTCGAACTAGTGGGAGGCTAGCCCTTCCCAGGTTCCCCCTGGTGGCCTCTCTGGGCACAACCAGGAAAACTCTTCTCCTCTTCCCCAGCCCCGGGCCCTTAAAGGGGTAGACTCTTCAGGATGGAAGCCAGTGTCAGCCAGCTCTCCCCCGCCCAATCCCCCAGCACCCAGGGGCCAGTCAGGGGCCGTAGATGACGTGCGCCCTCGTGGATTAGTGCGAAGATCATGGATCTCCTTGAGGTTTGGGGGGAGGCCCCCAAAGTCCATGATCTCTGCGCTAGGCGGAGGAGCGCACAGTGGCCACCATGGCCAGAAAGGGCCACAGGAGCACCCAGGAGCAGGGGTGCCTCAAAGTAAAGGAGCTGCGCCAGGCGTATG